TGTYAAAACATTCTGAGTACGTATAACATAAAAATGKCAAACTTTATGATGGAAWTGTGWGTTACCAGAYYGCAGCACTAGGGTTGCCAAATATGAAAATATARAAGYCAACAYACTTGTAATAAKAAGGGAATAMATTATSCAAGCTTAATAATAGTTACTTTATGTTGAAATAGATTTGTTTATGTTTTTATTAAATATTTTAATATACATAAATATTTTAGATTTGCTAGTCATTTGAGTAGTAGCTCTCCTTTTCATACCCCAAGTCAAACCAAYTAACTGTTTAACTATACATAAAGGCTCGAAATCCTTTGCCTTCAAGGTATTCGCTGAAATGATATTATCTTTACACCACGTATAGCGTATCGATGTGGTTGAAGTGTATTTGCACACAAAATCTTTCTGCACGCATACCCAGGCGTCCACATATCCCCCAACCAGATACTGTCATTTTGCTACTGATAAATGATGTGGAATTATGTTTCGCCGTGAGGCGCTTAATTAACTCATTCAACTGCAACACTCTGGCTGCAACACACATAGGATACACCGTTACATATTCATACTCACATATGAGGGTAACTGTAGACTGTAGAAAGTGGGAAGGATAGTCGAGGTCGTGGAATAGATATGCAATTTATTGTAAATGGAGGAWGAGCACTGAAGGCGAAGGTGAATGTCGTAAGCTGAGGTGAAAGGTGAGCTACAAGTAGGATATGAAAGTAATATTAACACAATTCAGAAATGCAACCTGTTGGAGTAGCATAGTTAAAGGCGCATAGAGTCATTAGTAGGGTCTCAGAGTAAAAAAATGAGAAACATCGAGAGTAACGGTCGATTCTGTGGATGACACTTTCAGAATCTGTGCTCATACATAGCTCTTTAGGATTCCTCGTTGCATCGTTGAAATGATAGTAATGGTCAACAAMTTTACGTACTTATGTCCCACACTTCGCATTAATCAATGGATTTATTGAGAGAMCACCTCAGTGAGCTGATAATTCCACTTTTTCGGCGGATTGATAGGCCACCAAGTTCGTGTGATATCAAGCCTGTAGATATTTTCTGTGGGCATATGTAAAGTATAAAGTCTATTTGGACAATCCTGCTTCAATTCAGACTGTGGTCGCCATAACATCACACRTGTCATTCGCCAGTCGAAATACTCTAACGATCCATCGAATATTGGACTTAGTCGATGGACCGTCTAAGACGAAACCGCTGACAACATCTCATAGAGATAATTTTCAAAAAATAAATGCAAAACAATGTTCATTTATTTTAAAGTTTCTGCGTTTTTATTTTAAAAAAGTAGGGAACCTTATTGTTAGTAATTTAAGATTTTGCTAAACATATTTACACTTTTTGATAGCTGTCTGGAAAGCAGGAGCAAGTCTACAAACAGAAACTATTTCCACAACTTTCTAATATTTGAAACATCRATCAAAAATGTATGTTTATAACACACTCAACTTTCTAATAAATATCGGATCAAGCCGTTATTCACGTCAATTTTTGATCTGGGTAATAAATTMACCATGAAAACGAAAATTTTAAGTGCAAAGAGTTTATACTATGAGGTTCCTTTATACATTATGCAGAAGACTGCAGGAAAATTTCTAAATTAGCATGGCGCAGACGGGGTAAACTGAAGAGGCTGCCACTATTAGTCTAATGTTCATAATAGTRCATGAAAGCTCGACTAAAATACTTAAGAGTTTAATACACACTTCACAAAATAATTGTATATGTCACTATTTATTACCGATTTTGCATGAAATACTAAATTTATTAATGGAAAAAATTCAACAAAATTTTGTTACAATGGAGGCACTTTACAACAACACTTGTATTTTTTTGTAAAACAAATTTTAATAAATTTCTTTCTTTTGTATTAACATTTTTAAGCCGGATAACGGCAGCGTCCGGCTGCAAAGACACGTCCTTTGGTGCAGGCATATCCATGGACTTGCAACAACACCAACATAATGAAGGCAATCCAAAGGAAACTGCTAAGCCAAAATGAGCGATTATATTGTTTGTTGTTGTAAATGCACCAGCTGCTCTGGTGAGAACTGCGGTTAACAAGCATCCTGTCGAGCCAAATGTTGTACGGCTGTAGGTGAAGCTGCTGAGGCAGGTGTAGTATGGAGTTACAAAAGGATGGATTGAAGTTGCAAAGGCTGATTTTTTAAATTTTTTCTCGATGTATTTTTATCTGTGAATAATTTTTTTTTACAATTTTCATAGAACTGTTTTTTAATTACTTTTTTTTCTCTCTCTTTAGCACTTGCCACTTCGCGTTTCGCTTTACAACTAATTGTTGCTTTTCGCTAACCGTTTTCATTTAAATGCCTTTAGGCCGGCCATAAGCCGTTAGTTGCTAGTACTCGCATTGTGGGYGTCGCACACCCCTCTTTGTCAACTGTAACTAATGCTTGGTGTTTACAACAAAATATTTGTAGTTTGTACTATTGTGATCCTTGCTTGTACTTAATTAGAATTTCCACTTTAGTGTGATTAAACGTATTAACTATAACTATCGCATCCCAAGGGTGYTGTATATCTACGTATTTACAACTTTTTTTCGTGCCAACTTAAGGTGTGTTCCGACGCCGCAAATAAAGTGCTTTCGCACAGAACGCTTTTCGAAAGTGCTTGCATTAGAGGTTGCTCTATGCAACTGAGCTTTGTTTCAACTGAAAAATTTATTATTTTTTTACCGATCTTCCTTGGGTGCTTTAGAAATATTTAATGCCAATCATTAATACAAGTTTATATTAGTTGCTTGTTCGATTCCCCACTTTCCCAGAAGTTTGGAATAGATGACGACTTTCGGTGGAAAAATTAATGCAAATTTTACATAAAATAAAGTATAATATAAGGAAAAAATATTAATTTCCGAAGCGAAATAACTTTAAAACCAGTCTTGTAAAGCAAATAAATGAATTCCAGGAAATATTTTTGACATATGGTTTTCCAGAAGAAACACTTAAAAAGAATATCGTTTAATGTTATAACCAAAACTTTAACTTTACTATGAAGAGAATTATTTGCCTTTATATTATAAAAACGATTTCTCAACAATCTTGGTGAGAGCCCATTCACATCATTATACCTTGAACAAGGAATATTAATTTTGCTAAGATCTTTGCAATATCCAAAATCAAATATTAGAGACCCTATAAGGCATGTATGCATTGAGATAAAAAGCCCCGAAAATTTTAATTAAATTCCCCATTTAAATGGTATCACAAAAAAAAAACTATTTTGCTTAGTTGGTCAATCAGATATTTACATTATCTACTTAAGTCGGTACACGTCAGTAGTGCGTTGCGATTTTTACAATGGATAAAAATATCGAACAAAGATTCTGTCTAATTTTTTTATTTCTAACCTAATTTAGTATGCGAAATCATTGCGAATGTTGAAGAAGGCTTAGGTGATTCAGTTTTATTAAAAACACAAACCCACGAGTGATACCAAGCCTTCAAAGAYAGTAGACAAGCTCCGTTTTRGTTGACCTTCGACCTMTACAACTGCGRAAAATATTAGTGAAAGATATGKTRCTCGAWAATCGTGTGGCAAGWGTTAAAGATATGTCAARCGAGATCAATATCTCTCGYGATTCCGTTCGAATGAGTTTKRTGGAAACGGGTTCTTACTCGGCCGSSCRGAATTRTGAAAGAATAATTCATGAATTTAACAAGATGATAATGCCATCGCATCGAGCMACGGTTTGGACCGACTGTWAAGTCAAAAGCGCAATGAATAYCWTCGAGCAATCACCRTATTCACCAAATTTTTTCACGTTCCCCAGACTGAAATTTCCGTTCCGTGGAACCCGTTTTTGATCGATCTAAGATATAAAACAAAATTCGTTGAAGGAGCTGTAGGTGATCCGAAAAAGCGAAATATAAAAAGTGTTTCGAAGACTGGAAAAATCTTTGGCATACATGTATTACATATTATTTATAAATATATGAATCATCGGCGTGACGAGCTAAATCTTTTTAGCCTTGTATGTCAGTCGCGWTTGTTTATACGCAGTAGTCTCTCAATTTTAAAATTTTTGAGATATCGGTATGAAGTTCTGCACAGTTTTTTTCTCGCCAAAAAGCTGTACATATGTCGGCACGGCCGATATCGGACAACTGTAGCATTTATATGCCATAGAAATTGAACGAACGGAATAAAGTTTTGTATGAACAGCCTTTCCATTTGACTAAATATACTATTTAGATCGAGTACTATAGCATACAGCTGCTTTTACTGATCAAAGATCTTGTAACGAATCTTTTATATTTATGAGGGGYTTTATAGCTTGATGCAACCGAAGTGAACGTTTTTTCTTCTTCTTCATTGAGCTTGTAATCAATTTCGCGCTGATAATACTTTGAACGAAACTAGCTTTATAGTTTATTCTTCTGTCACAGAGTCTATAAATACATACATATGCTTATATACATTTCTATGTATCGATGTGTGTCTGTATAGGCATTAGTTGTATTGTATTAAAGCTTGTATGAGATTGACCGCTTGATGATGTATCTTTAAGTAGAAGTAATTATTTAAGTGGAAGAATGAATCTGGGTAGATTGACGATAGACAATAGAGCGTTAAGTGCAACAACGGTGTGCKATCAAGTGCAATACTGTGGCAACGACATTTGGATTGTAAATAAAAATACGGAAAAAAATAGATTTATGGTGTCATTTTCCATTCTTCGGAAGAATTGCTCATATGCAGCTGCATTTAATTGAAGCTCTTTTCACTAGTTAAAAATTACAAAAAATCCCACTTTTTTGTTAACATTTTTTTTATTGTGGTTTTTTTTTTTTTTGCCTCCCTTGCATTCTCCATGCCCACTCACTGGCGGAACTGCGCGAACTAAAAATAAATTTCGAATAAAAGTTGTATTATGCTTTTGATTAGGAATGATGATTGTGCAAGCCGAGCGTGCAAGCTAAATATTTTCGATCGGCGGAGATCAGTGCGAAAGTGACAGTTGATGGGTGAGCGTCGCGTCCAGCGCAACACCGCACGGCAGACACACTTGAAGCGAGCGGCGACGCGATAAGTAAAAGCGAACATACGAAAGAATAAAAGTTAACACGCAAACAAATACAGCAGCAAAMAAAAAGAAAAAAACACAACAAATAGAAACAATTTCGTGTAAACAAACAAGCAAAATYAATTTAATAACAATAAAAAGGTTAAGAAAAAAAGGTGTCACGTTACAATAATGCTGTCATCAAAGTCATCTGTGTGTTTGTTCTTGTTGTTGTCGATTGCAACACTATTGCCAACAACAACAACGACGACACCGGCAACCACAATGAAAACAACAACAAAKAAATCATTGCAAAGCAACCCGACAAATCCGCAGAATATTGAAGATTACGGCAAAAGCGGTAATTACCTTTAACGATTGCATTTAAAGGGTATTATTTATTCTTTTGCGATGGTGAGAACATGCATRGAGATGCTGTTCCGCTTGGAAACGACAAAATGTTTCTGGTTTTTTCTGGAAGAAATATAGTTTTCTGAGGGGTTTCTCAAACGTCGAGAACGATACCGCATGATCCAACGAAGAAATGGAAGTTTCCAACAAGCCTCAAAACCCATTGGTTGCCTAATAGCAGCACTAGAGTGTAAATCTGAGACTTAAYTTGTAGCTAAAAAATCTCTTTATTTACTATTGCGTTCGGAAGTAGGGCTTTATCATTTCATTACTCTTTCCTTGGACGGAAGCATGAATAGAGTATTCTGGGAAATCTTTTTTTAGAAGTGGAAAAACTCCAGTCAGTCATTAATTCGCCGGAAACTAATACCTCGCAGATGAAATAACTATGGAAATAGCAGTGAAACATGTTTCGAAAAGTACCAGGATGTGTCAGTATTAGTTTTTAACAACATTCATTATTCAATCTCAGTTTGGGAAATARGAAAAATTCACACGGAGCCAAATCCGGAGAGTTCGATTGTATTCACTGCGTTTTTGGTTTCAAATTCGGTCACAATAGGAACTCCTTGTTGACCTTCTGTCTCTGTGGAACAAGTTCATGATATACCAAACTACGAATATCAAAAAAAAAAATATTATAATAATAATGGATATCACCTTGGTTTTAGAGCACATTTAGTGTGGTTTTTTTGTTTCKGGTCGTTTTTTTCTTTTTCTCTTGTAAATAAATTGGTTGAGAGATCACTCTCATATTTGGCACAGTATTTAAATGATTTTTTGAGGACTTTTTTGGGAGGGTAAGCAATAATTGATTAAAGCGAAATGCGTAGCGTTCATAATCATATATTTARACATCATTCACAAATTTTTTGGATACGAAATCTTTGATAGTTTTTGGGAAACAATTGCATTTGTCAGACGGCGGGCAGGATGCAGGTCGCAATTCCTATCAGAAACAAAAAATTCAAAGAGATTCATGTTTTTTAATAATTTAACTTCTAGTTAAACTAAGAAAATTCCAAAGAAAAAAAGTAAAATATTACAATCTTTTTAATAATTGAAGAAAAGTAGTTTTTGACMAAAAAAAAATTATTTTATGTTGTTTAAAAATATGTCCACACATGACTTTTCTTAGTTTTTTTTTTAATTCAAATAGAAGATAATTTTATGCCAAAGATAAGAAACTTTGCMCCAATTCAAATCGTAAAAATTAATAACCGAGAAATCGCGCATCAAAGTTTTCGCTTTCTGCCCAAGTGCTACTAGATCTGCTATACGCTCGGTCACTATTTCCCTTCAAGCTTCGAAAATATTGCGAATTGCTATCTATAACTTTGGGGACATATTCTTAGATATTTTTTTAAGCTTCTAAAGAACGTTCCCCTTTAAGGACAGTCCGATATCTTAGCAAAATAAATTTTTCTGAAATATATTTTAAACATTAATTACAATTTCCGGTTTTTTTTTCTTTTGTCTAAATATATAACAAAACCTGATACTCTCCGCACAGACATATTGCTAATGTATCTGCAAACAACATCTGCTGGGATCTTTTTGCCTACAATACTCTCGCTGATGCATTACCCGAACCAGGTTCAATTAAAAAGTCCAAGTTTAATAGAAATGCAATTCTTAAACTACAGTGATCACTKTCGACTTCGTTTATCATACCTATAGCAATTGCTTACGGGATATTGCTGTTGATAAAGACTTAAGCCCGATATACTGAATTTTGTTATCTTTAATTTTAATTTTAATTTTAATTGTTCCAATGAAATGTTGTCTTCTCCGGCCCAAACTCTGCTCGAGTACTCAACGATGGAAACTATAAAACGAACAGCAGCTGAAAGCGTTTTTTCATTGTGAATCTGTCTGTGCATCATCTTCTTTACCATTAATATGATCTGAAGCCTGAAAATACCTGATTTTCAAACGATTTCGGTCCATTGAAAAATTTGACTTCCGGTTTAGGTGGAGTTAACCTTAATCCTAAAAATAAATTATGCTTAAATGACAGCATTGCATGTAAATAATAATAGAAGTATATCCTTCCATTTAGTTGACGATAGAGAAATGGTTTAAAAAAAAATCGGTTTATTTTCATATTCACCACACAAATTTTCTCTGTGGAGAAATTGTAGATTTCTAAGGTTACAAGTGCCAGATTGCAATTTGTCTATTAGCACGAGTTTAGCTATAGTTCGGCTAATCAGCTCATTACCAAAAAAATGCTTTCGGCTGTGGTGATTTTGTGGCTTTATAGGGTTCTAAGTATCAGATTAATTGAAATAAAAGTACTTCGAATATTAAAACTATTTTTTTTTATACATTCAATTTTAATTATTTCTCTTTATTTTTAGTGAAAATCATTTTCCCAAACAATAACGATTCCGAGGACAACAGCAAATTCGATGTTTATGGTTTGAAGACAACACCACCGCCACCAAATCAGGAGGAAGTGAAAATAGAAGATAAAATTGCCMCTACTGAAGCAACCATTAATACAACTATGAAATCAACAACGGGTGMCAGTGATTCTGTTTCGAATTCCACTGTAAAATCATTTGACAACCGTATCGGTGTTCTAAATCTGGCACCACACTGTCCGGAGGGAACCGTGATAGTGAATCAGCGCTGTCATAAATCAGCATAATGATAGAAAAAGTGAATTTACATACGTAAAAATATGATACTTTTATTAAAACTTCGAAATAAATTTAGATTACTTTTAATTCAATTTTGTGTAAAGATTAGAAATGTCGCAAATTAGATTTTTGCAGTCAAATTTCGATGATTGGMAAAAGCCTTGACATAAGTGTATTGAGGAAAGGGAAATCACTTCGAGAGGATTTTGAAGAATAAATTCCGAATTTTAAAATAATTAACAAAAAGTAGTAAGATTTTGCTACTTTTTGTTCATAGTACTTAGTACGTACTGAAGAAGCGTAGACGATGAGCTGCTGCTCACCGCAAGAGGTAAAAGAGAAATACTCTTTTMAACAATGTAATTGTCATCACAAAGTACACACTAATATTTTCGGTACAATGAACTTTTATTTACCTTTYTTCTTCATTATTTGTGTGTAATTATAAAAAAATGTATGTTATAACTCAACAGTTTGTACTTCAGTGTTTAGGTAGTGGCTTTTGACTGGACAGCTAATGCCCTCCGTTATAATGTTAGTGGAGCACAAATGAAATCTACAACGTATATTACGATATATTCAAAAGCTATTTGTTGTTTTCTAAGTGTAATTTTTACTTTTTTTATTGTATACAATAATATTGTATACAATACAAATAATTGTTTTTACTTTTATTTACATTTCATACACATATTTGTTTTCTTTATTTTTATCTAGTTTCTTTTATTATTACTTCTTTGAAAATAGAAGTTAGAGACTACTTGTGGACTGACTGACTCTTGCGGCGAATGCTCACTGTTTACGACTCTTGAAATTTTATCGAGCATATCTTAATTATACCACAACTTTTTTGAMTTCATCAAAGTCTCAATCCGTCAATCGTTTGGAATATTAAAAATGGAAATAATAGATAATAGATATAGATAAATGAGAACAATTAATTTAAGTTTTTATTAAGCATAGTTAGAATGCTTGTTTGAAAGTAATTTCTTATAAACACATACAAATTATATGTATATGGTACATTACTATGGTAAGTTTACTCGGAAAAACTTAGAYAAAGACCCCACGCTGAGAAGCGTCTTTACTAAAATAGATTAATATCTTTTTTTTTCAAAAATATATTTATAATTTTCATTTCCGAACGATTTTTATATATAATATTTTAGATTATTTTTAATATATAATCACAGCTATTTCTTTTTATAAAATAACAATAAAACTTTTACTTTATTCTATAAAACTGTTTTTGCTTTAATATTCAAGCGCTTGCTTCTTCCACACTCCAGTCACTCACTTCACTCTCTTATGACACCTTTTATTGGCTAAAATGAAACCCTCCGGGCAGTTGGGTAACGGCTTTGTTTCTAATATATTATAAGGTTTTATTAATGTGTCAGCTTCTGTAGTATCCACCAAATTCAGTGCAATCGCTGGCGCACGTTCTGAACTTACTGTTGTTACGTCACCATAGGCCTCCACCACTTCGCCGGATTGATCTATTAGGTAGGCGCTACAACCAATAAAGGCAAGATAGCAGTAGAAGAAAATCGCATTCACAGACATTTTTCGATCTCAAAAAAATCTTTATTTATAATTTTTATGTTTTTAAATTTTAAAATTTTCGAAACACTTTAACGGTATTATTTTTTAATTATTTGCTTTAAAGTCGCACACAGATTTGTCTAACTGTCAGCATTTCATTTGATTTCTGCATATTTATAGATTTCTGAGCAAACAAATTGAATGCTCTTCCGCTTGCTCGCCTTCACCTTAACCCTCAACCAGAAATTGTGAAATTCTGAGACAATTATATGCGTTTATTGACCATTTGCTGCCACATAGTAGCGGTGCGRTCAAGTGCAAGTTGAAGTGGCATGCCGCCGTAAGATACTTCACAAGTCACTCGTTGTAGTAGTGATTAGCAAAGCTCTTCAGTGTCTCCATAAGTGGCGGAAGCTTTGACACCGCAAAAGCACAAATCAAATTTGCATGCACCTACGTGCGTGCATACAACAACTAGCAATCCGAATAGAGCATAAGAAAACAAATATTTATACACCAATTTCATAGGTGAAGGTTGCATTAACTGTATCGGCCGGTCGTGTGACTCAGCGCRTCTCGCGCAAGCCACTTAGGCGCTCAGCGCGTAACTTGAAGGCTTTTCGTTATGCCAGTATTTGAGCTGCCTTTGAGTTTGCGTAGGGCGCGGAAGACGTGCGCATGGCCATCAATTAGTTTTTAGTATAACAGTTAAGTTAATGTATTATTAAGTTGTTTACTATAAGTTGAAAGCTTTTGACCCAAACAAGTTCACATTATTAATTTGTAATGTCGTGCTTTGGAGCTCATTTGAAAGAAATTGTTTTCATTAAATGTAAGAGAAAAAGTGACTTTCATAGAGCAAGCTTTTTTTGCAATAAAACCTGCTTAATTTACCTACATTTTTGGGCTTAGCGCTCTCATAGAAGGATTGAAGCGAGTTATAAACGAGTTTATGACAGCGATTCCTCCGGAAAGTGCTGCGTCAAATACTTTCAGAGMGAAACCGCCGACTTTCATTCGCTGAACTATGTCAGTGTCGTCGTATATCTCATACAGCTTATTTCCGAATACGATATTCGCCGTGGCCAAGGTGCAAAGATCCATAAATCTTCCGCAAAACCTTTCGGACGGGAATAATTAGTGACTTATAGAGTTTGGTTTTTTACCGTCGAGATAGGACTTTGCTTCTCAATTTCTGTTAACAAGAGTTATCTTGCGTTGGACTTCTAGACTGACATTGTTATTCCTGTTAATGCTGGTTCCAAGATAGACGAAATTATCTACAACTTCGAAGTTATGACTGTCGCGTATGCGACGACTGTTTGTTTGATGGCAGAAGATAGTTCTTCTTTTCGCAAGGTGGGACCAAKTGAAGATTCCTTAGGTCTAAGGCCACACTGAATCAGTTTGTTGRCGGTGTGCTTTAATCTTTCACACAATACGCTCGATAGAACCTTATATACAATGTTTAGGAGACTTATCTTACGTTAGTTGACGCAGATTATGGTCTCCCTTTTTCTAGATTGGGCAGAGCACACTTAATTCCAATCGTTGAKCAGGCTTTCGTCCGACCCTATCTTACAAAGAAGCTGATGCATGCTTCTTATCAGTTCTTTGCTGTCGTGTTTGAATAGCTTGGCCGGCAATCCATCGACAACCGCCACGTTGTTTTTCTTCAGACGGGTAATTACTATTCGAACTTCTTCATGGTTGAGCAATTAAACGTCTGTTGCATCGTCCTCGAYTGGGGATCCAACTATATATTCCCTWTAAATACATTTGTAAAAACCTACCCACATCAATCATGAGAACTCTATAGACAAGTATATACGAGATCATGCATCGTTGTCTTATGGTATAAATGGAGACTGAAGTGGAGACCATTATTTTCATTTTCCCGCCTATAGTTGTGTTACATGAGACCTCGTGTTAAGAGTGGAACTTTTAATGCCGCTGCCCAGAATATAGATTTTTCCTTTTTCTGAAAGTTTTAACGAATGTGAAAGCTGTGATAAAAGTTTACACGCTTCGTAGGAAATCCTGCAATCCTAACTAGTCTTTTAACTTTAAAACAAGTAGTTAATAGGTATTTCTTTGATTTAGCATCCTTTGAAGACCATTATTACTGTATTCAAAAAAGAACCATAGTCAGTATTAGTCTATCTGCCTACAAATCGCCACTAACTTTGCCTATGTTCTCCCTACATAAGAAGATTTCTTATAAAAAATTATTCAGAAGTGATAATTCGAACGATTCCGAACAAACTCAAAGGAAAGCTGGTTGGCCAGAACTCAAATTTAATAAGAATTCATAGATATTTCGATATCCTTGAAGCTAAGATCCTTCATAAATCAGTTTTTTTCTTTCTTACAAACCATTTGCAATGAAAGCACAACACGTTGATTACCAATAAATTACTACCAYTATTATTATTCATGGGTAATAAGGAAAGAAGTATCGAAACTTCTACATGACAACAACAATCCCGGATAGATGGCACTGATTGCAAAACTTATCTCTATTGTTTCTACAAACGTTTATTGTTACCTTTTGTTGCAAGATGTCTTTACATTTCCGATTGCTGATATGAAAATTGCTTGCCAATATTTGTCTGATGAAGCCAACTGCAATCTGCGAGCGAGAACAAAGGAAGAAATCTTCAAATGAAGGCTGCCAACTGCAGTGTGAAAGAGAGTGAGAGCGCGAGAGGGAGAATGGAGGCAGCTAAACAGGGGAGTGAAGAAATAAATGCAACGTAACAATATAACTGTATACAATGTTACTACYAAATCAGCAATAAAGAAAAATTGTAAGAAATAGAGAAAAGAGGAAAAAATAACGGGAAATAACTATTTACCAAAGTCGGCGAAGTATTTTGCTTTTATGAAAATTAATAAACAAAAGTGCAGCAACAATAATGAGTATAAGAAGGTAAACAATAACAACAGAAACAATAATAAAACACAAGCAATAATAAAAACAACATCAAGAAAATGCATGCACGCCATTTCAATAAGCGCTGAAAACAATTGAAAATCGGAAGCTAAAACGAAGAGTAAGACGCAGGTAACGAAGGCGGTGGGAGAGCAGTTCTGGGAGAATTTCTGTGAATGCGCTTGAAAGCTGTGCGGTAAGATAAAGSAAAGCGTRAGCGCATTAATAGTGATTGGGAGAGTATGAGTGCTCATTGCTGTGGCCTCTTGTGATGCTGCCGTTGCTGTTGCCGCTGCTGGTAAYGTGCAACAACGCTCGGAACATGCAGCATGCAACATGGGAATTGTTTAGGTAAATCGTTGGATTTTTGCAATTCTGTTATTTTGCTTTCTTACCCGGTGCTTGATTAACTCTTGTGGTTTGCCCAAAAAACGATGGAAATGAGGTGAAGGGGAAGTTTGGAGAGGTGAGTTGGTGTATCGCAACGTGGMTGCTGCAGAAATATTTCACTACTCTTGTTTGTTTCGCCTCTATTTAACTTTGTGTTGGCAGCATTTGRCGCTGATGCCTGCAAAAATTATTGTTGCTACTTGAAGTTTTCAGAGAAAATAGTGGCGATGGAGATGGAGGTGAACCCCCAAAGGTTGAAAAATAATTCTCTTAAGACCAGTGTAAATCTTCTGTACTTGGGTGCTACCTACGTAGCTCAGCGAGTCCTCACTTCCAAAAAAATTGTAAAGGCCGGAAGAAGTAATA